GGATACATTCCTCAGATGCACCACAATATTCGAATTTCACATTTCAAGTTCTATTTCTCAGAGCAAGAAAAAAATAAAATGAAGTCTGGAAATCAACCCCCCCCCTTTAGAGCCCATAAAATCCAGACTTCCGGCCCACGCAAATGTCCAAGTTAGTCCAACTTCGTTTGTTTTCTTTTTTTGACGCATCTCATTGGACGGGAGGTGGGCATCTTTACAGTCCCCTCTCGGAAACTACCAGGCCGTCGAGATCCGATCTATTCGACAGCCGTGTGGTAGAATACCTTGCTAGTGGGTCCAGGCCCCTGGTAGCCTAGTAATAATAATAACAATAATAATAATAATAATAACAACAATAATAATAATAATAATAATAATAATAATAATAATAATAATAATAATATAACATTCAGAAGGAGTAGTACTGGAAAACGAACACGGGGAAGGAGGGATGAGACGTGGAACAAGGAGAAGAAGAGGATGAAGAGGAAAAAGAAGACCACGATTGAAGACGAAGAGGAAGAAGAGGAGGAAGAGGGTGGAAGAGGAACAACAAGAGGAAGAACAAGAGAGCAAAATGAGCAAGTCGAGCACAAAGAGGAAGCAGAGGAAGCAGAGGAAGAAGAAAAGAAGAGGAAGGGGAGGAAGGGAAGGTGACAAAAAGGAGGAAGGAAAGAGGAGCAGGAGGAAGAAGTGGAAGCAGAGGAGTGAGAGGGAGCACTGGTTGAAGAGGTAGAAGAAGAAGAGGGGAACGAGGAGCAGCAGTAGGATGCAGAGATGTGCAGTAGGTGTCGGACGACAGGAGGAAGTAGCAGGAATGAAACTGAGATGACCAAGAGTTTTCAGAACATGGATGGAGCAATAGTGGTTAGGGTGGGTGAAAGGGGGTGCGCCAGTGATAGGACCTTGTCAGGAGGGTTTAGGGGCTGTTACTGTGGGCAGGTGGAGCCAGGGCACACCATTAGAGGGCAGGCATTCCATGCCGAATGGTTGCTGCAGAATTGCGTAGAGGAGGCTCACGAGTGTGAAACACACACTTGTTGAAGTAGACCGTGCAGAACAATCCTCATGGTAAAACATAAGCACACAATCTATGAATAGGCTTCAGTAGGGGATCTGTTATGTTCATTGTTCGGTCTGGAACCTTACCATGGTAGAAGTATTTGCCGAAGTCTACAAAGCTGGAACTGTTTGATGGGGTGTCAGTAATGGACATATTCACAATAGAGTTGGGGCCAGGACCAGCTGGTGCCCGAAAGAAAGCTATCCGTCCAGAGCCAGGCACCTGCACTGTTTGGATCCCAAATCGACACGCAAGTGTACCATTCATAGCCATATCAAAGGTAACCTTTACGTTTGTTCCACCTGCCACTGGCCCAACCTGTGGAGCGTATGATACCACGCTCCATGCTGTCACACATGCAACCGAAATAACATGGAGCCAACAGTTAGTTAAGTTGACAAGATTCGATGTGTTGTTATGATCATGGCTATCCTCAAGTGCAACAACTCAAAGAAAGACAATGCCGTCCAATTGCAACTGAAATGAAAGAACTGAGAAAAGGAAGAAGAAGAAATAAGGATGGAAGAATAAAAAGAAGATGAACACCGGCAAAGGCCAATGCCAATCCCCCTTCTGAAACGGTTTTCACCTTTTGCAGTAGCAGATGCAGACCCCAGGGCTCGATCCCTAGCCCTTACCATACCGGTGTACAGTATCTGTGTCGACCCCAAGGCTTGAACCCACGACCTGTGTATTAGTAGACTGTTGTAGGGTCCGTAGGTAGTAGGGGTTCAATCTGTAGATCTGTAGAATAGAAGTCTTAGTGAGTTCCAGAAGTCTTAGCTGTAGTCCTTCTAGAAGGTCGAGCAAGTGGGCAAGTGGGCAAGTGGTGGACCAACTGCAGTACGTTCGCAGTACGATAGCGGTAGGATAGCAGTGAGTCCCCATTCAGTCAGCGGTAAGGTCCAGTCAGTCCCAGTCCAGTCCAGCAAGTACCACAAGGGACTGTGAGCACCATGGGCCGATGGAAAAGGGCAGACCAACGAGCTTCAGAAGTAAAAATCAAAAGGCAGCGCCCAGTCATTCATTCATTCCTGCGTGAGCCATGCAGTGCAAGGAGGTCTGCAGTGAGCCCGAAGCTGAAGTGGGCGAGAGAGAAGGAGCGTAGCATAGCGATAGGGTAGTTGCGGCCATAGCCGCCATAGCTAGAGTTAGTGTGTAGTGCATGTGCGTGTGTGTGGGAGTTCAGAGAGTCGCGTGTGGGATATCCAGGGTATCCGGTGTATGTGAACAGTGAATTGTTTGGGCGCTGAGTTGCCATAGCCAATGGAAAATGAACTCGTATCTGGATGCCATATCTCTGAGTTTTGAGTGGGCGCATGTCGCCAGTTTGCTGCGCTACTGTTTACATGCATGAGAAGTGTGAATGAAAGCGAGTCTGATTGCATTGGTATCGGAGCTGGTACCCGCTATTCCATGCGCGCCGTCGTGTACAGGGCCTGATGCGCCATAGCTGAGGTGGCCGCCAGAAGAAGAAGTTCGCCATAGCGGACCTGAAGGTTGGAGAAGCCGCCGCGCACCTGCAGAGAAGACCACGACGAAGAAGAAGAGAGAGAGAGAGAGAGAGAGAGAGAGA